GAGGTGGCCATCCCGATCGATGAGTATGTTACCATTATGTCGATCCTTGATCTGTAGAAGATATGTGACGACGGAGTAACCTGCGATGCCGAACTAAGAATCAGGCTTTCCGAGGCTCAAAATGGCACGATCCCGTACCTGCGAGGGACTTCGCAAAGTTACGCTGAGCACGGACGAACTTCGCGGATGTTGGGTCACCGAATGCCTAAAAGGGCTGTATCAATAAAGATCCGACATAAGGTGACGATGTCTTACAGTTTTGAAGTGATCATACAAGCTGACATGCCCTAATCTCCCAGTAGCTAGCCGTCGCGCATATTCAGCTTTCTTGATCGAATGTATCGACACAGCATCCGTGATAGTCTCCACTAGCCCAGAATTATTGCCTGTGATCAATATTCTGAAACTGATGTTTATGAGCAAGGCGGTCTTAAAAGACAAAATATACACTTACTATCGAAGCCAGCACAGACAATTCTCATCTTTGAAGATTTTTTCGAACTCCTGGATGAGTTGAACCGCAAGCTGTTCTTGCCGGAGGTCGCCTCCAGTTTTAACGATGACTGAGACGCAATCCCAATTGGCTGATACGCTGGTCAGGAAGTCAGGCACTCTGATATACGATAGGAGTCCGTACCTAGGTGGCCATAGGGTGAAGCCTGTCGTATTCGACTCTGTAAAAGCGCGCTCATGATCAGGGGGCTTGCAAGGCAGAAGATACAGCGGTCTACCTTCTTAGTAGCCCATGACTCCCCAACAACAACAGCAGACGGATCGGCTTTGCTCAACTCTCGCCTGATGATACCCTCGTCTTCTGCGGTTTTCATGTTTCCTCCCGTATCACCTATTTTCAAAGTCCCCTCGCCGGTACGGTTCTCCCGCATTCGCTCCATGCGCTCCTCTTCCAAAGCTAACATCTCGTCCATGATCCTCGTACGAATCGCTGCAGCTTCAGCCGCCGGAAGCCTCATCCGCATAGGGGCTGATCCCAGTGCAGGAGTTTGAGGAACCTGTGCAGAGTCGGCGGCGGGTGCAGTCGTCTCTGGAGCGGGAGGTGTTATAGTTAGCCAGCTGGATCCAGGTAGCCAGCGTCCGGGGGATGCGGACATCAGCGAGGGTGTTCCGGGAACCGTCAAGGAGGCCGCAGACTCTTTTATTTGGTTCGCGTTGAGCTGCGCCAACATAACTGCAGCCGTCCGCATGCGTTCAGAGTATTCATCTAATGATAAGACCCGTTGTACTTGTGGGCGAGGAGTCTCAGCTCTGTGACTATTCGCTCTGGACAAACTGGGTCGCGGTGCCAAAGTTGCTGAAGCATCCATCGATGTTTGAGGGGACGGAGGTGTGGACGACCAGGTAACCATATCCAACTCTCTGTTCTTCGGTGCAGGAGGCAAAACAATAGAATCCGACAGGTCAATAGGGTGCGAATGTAGAGATCCCTCGATACCGTAAAGTTGCTCAACGAGATCGACCTCTTCTTCATCGGTAGGCGAAACCAATGAATCCTCGAGACTCATTGTAGATATCCCCGCCTCGTGGTCGTTACTGCCAATGTTTCTGGTGTCTACATCAAGGATACCACCTGGACCGTCGGGGTCAGGACCGGATTGAGACTTGCGCCGTTCCATCTCAGAAGAATTGGGGCCTGGAAAGCCTATCAAATCGCCTGAAGCGCCTTTTCGTTCATTCTCCTTTGCGACAATCTTCTTCAAGATTTCTTTGTTTGGCCGCTTGATGGGGTCAAAGTCAAGCTCGGCGTGTAGAATCTCAATCAAGAGAAGGTATGGTGCGCGTTCTGCGGAATTCAGGACAACGCTTTCGCCTGGAGGTATACGTACTATCTTGTGATGCGGTTCCGTAAGGCCAGTTTCAGGATCTAGTGTGTCTGAAGAAGAGCACCACATGGGCATGCAAACCTAGACACCGTTTGAGTAACACTACAGACAATTAGCCGCTGTATGTTACCTCGGCAGGAAGCTTATGATTTAGAGCAGTCAGCTCAGCTCTCAATGCACTAACGCGAGCGGGCTTGGGGACGACGAGAAGTCTGTTACATATATTTTCCAATGCAAGCAGAAATTGGATCTGATGCGTCGGCAGGAATTTATTAGCAGGAGCATCGTAGAGGTTAGATTAACATACCTCAGAACGACAGTAATGACTGCGTAGGAGATATTTCTGAGCTGAAAGATCGTACTTCTGTAACAGAACCTCAGCTGAGGTTAAGCTATTGGGCCGACGGAAATGGCGAGATGCCGAAAATGTAGGTGTAGATTGAAACGGTGAAGGTAAACTTGAAGGATCGGATTGATCTGCATCGTTCTGGCCGAATGGGTCCTCAGAAAGCCTGGGTTTCCTCAAATTTTTGATATGCAGGGGGAGAGCAGGACTGGTTTGAGCACCAACCGTCTGGCGGCGCGACCTACCGCCAGATTTTACCTGCGAGCCATCGTTCAACGGGCTTGTTGAAGAACGAGACGGTTCATACTGTGTGGAGTTGCCCTTGGTAGGCTCAGCCGCTGGCTCTGGGTCGGATAGGTCATCTTCGCCGTCGTCATACTGGGATTTATTCCTGTCCGATTCGGATAGTGTTCTCACAATACCCTCCGGATTGTCCAAGCTTCGGAGATCATTTCCTTGGTCATCAAATCTTCCCTGCTCGATGGCAACTTCTCCCATTATCGTAGTCAGACTGGGCATACCCGGTACACCGGCTAATACGATGCCTATTCCGACCAAAGCTGGATTGACGTTCGGCTTGATTTTCTTGCGAATAATGCCGGGCAATGAGAGAATGTTCATGATCGAGTAAGGAGTGCCGGAGGCAGGAAGATCTCCGTATATCATCTCGTGGCATTGGTTTAGGACGCGTTGGCATATGAGGAACGACTCAGAGGTGTGGTCAGGCCGAGGGATATCCTTAAGATGAGCTTGCATAAACCACAGAGTCTGATACGGTCATTGAGTAGTTCACGAAATTTGTTCCGCTTGGAACATACCAGCATGGCAATATGCGTTGACTTCTGTGCAATTTCGACCACAAAGCATTCTAATGCACGAGACTTGGATGGTCTAGTAACTAGCAGGTGGCTACGTAACATTGACATGAACTTGCAGTTTCTGAAACGGCTTGCGTGTAGACGTACCAGACGAACCCCCATACCTCGCGCAACTCACGCGTGTCTAGTTCCCGTAACCTCCTGGTAAGATAGTAGGTTATTCCTATGTTGTCTGCATAAATCCTCAAGTACTGCAGAGCAACGTGCACGGAGAAGAAGGACGGCGATAAAAAGAGCCTTAAAAGGAGAGCATGGGACATGACAAGACGTTCAAGAGCGTGGCATCCAGTACGAGTACGATGCGGGGTCGTTGCCCACGACGGCGGACCAGGAGTAATGTTATGAGCGCTTGCACGCGACTGAAGTGTTCCGGAAATAGACTGCCAGAACAGACACGTCGCACACAACGCGTCTCACCAACCTCGTAACCTCTCCATCCTGCGCTGAGCAGCAATGTTGCTCTCGTCTCTCCTCGCTCTTTTTGTTCTTCCTGTGTGCTTGGCCGTGTCAAGCCAACAGACCCAAGATGACTTGGTCCGACTCGCCAAAGCTGGCCAGGGCATCATTAAACTCGACGAACGTACCTTCGAAGTGTTAACCTCCCCGACCAGGGAGTGGTCTTCGACCATAGTTTTCACAGCCATGGATCCCAGGAGGAAATGCGGGCCTTGCAAGTAACGTGGTATCCCTTAAGTATGTATACCGCGTAGCTGACAAGACTACAAGACAATTCCAGCCTGCTTTCGATGCCGTTGCTCATGCCTGGACCAAGGTGTCTTCCGTTGAACGCAACAAGCACTTCTTTGCTATTGCCGATTATGACGAGTCTATGCAAATCTTCCAGAAGGTATATAGGAGTCGACCTATGCACTCCGCGAAGACTCACATTCCATGAATAGCTTGGACTACAATCCGCTCCCGTTGTATACAACTATCCTGCTGCCGAAGGTCCACAGAAGTCAGCTAGCGGCAAAACGACTCCCGTCGCATACGACTTTGCCAAGTGAGTGACTTGATACTTGTTCCTTGGCACCTGTGTTCACAGCTTGATAGCGGATACACTGCCGAGGCTTTAGCGGAACACTTATCCGTCCACACGCCTGTGCGAGTTCCCTACAGCCCTCCTGTAGATTGGAGCAAGTATGGCGTTATTGCAGCCACCGTTCTCCTTTTTGCAAGTACTATCCGGTTCATTCTACCGCTGCTCAAGTCTCGAATTACCTGGGCGGTGATCACGGTTGGAATTATCTTGGTCATGACTGGTGGACATATGTTTGTGCAGATCCGTGGTATGCCCTACAGCGATGGAACCAACTGGATTGCCGGTGGTTATCAGAACCAGTATGGACAAGAAACCCAAGTTGTCGCAATGACATGTCAGTCTTTATTTCGTCAAATACAGACGACTTCAAATATATACTAACGGATACTTTGAAGATGGCCTTCTCGGTGGAGCATTCCTCATGCTCACGATGGTGGCTCCGTATCAGACCTCTAAATCACGACAGCAAGTACAAGTGTGGCTGTGGAGTATTGTTGTATTCGTCATGTTCTCAGTGCTCATTTCGTTATTCAGAGTCAAAAACCGAGGTATGTATTCTAATCGTTATTGTTCACTCCGCATATTCATGTGTTTCAGGCTACCCGTACAAGCTACTTTTGTAGGGTCGTACTCAATCAGTGTCGTAGGGTGCTGGTTGAACCGTTCCATACGAGAGTATAGTGGTCATTTATCATATCGCTTATTCAATGGGTCCGACCTCACCACAAGTCAGCTGCTTTATCTGCAAATCATTATGAGAGTGAGTGCATTGATACAAATGCGATTATACTTCTTCTATGAGTGTCTTAACAAGCCGCTATGTGAGATGAATTGTAACTTCGACCGTTGGATCGGCGGTTCAGGGAATATGCGCAAGTACGTACTTACAATGTTATGGCTACCTGGCGCAATGGTAGCGCGTTTGGCTTCGATTGCTTAACGCCACCAAAAGGTTGCAGGTTCGAGTCCTGCGGTGGTCATGACTTTTTTGTCTTCGTGGCTAAGTCTTAAGTGCTCACATGTGATATCACTACAGCCTAGGACCGGTGGTATGACGGCAGCGCATGCCCTCCAACAAGGCTGAGCAACAGTCTATCAATACTTGTTTCACAAGGTCCGCTTATGGTTCGCATGGAAGCTGCAGATGACAAAGTATGCATAAAATATGAGAAAATGTCATGTCCATGACTCTAACTACCAGGCTCCTGGAACACATCTACGTATCTACTGCGCGCATTGCGCTTGATTGGCGCCCTCCTCTGGCCAGGCGTTGGAGGAGCATCCATCCCAGGGGGTCCGTCCATCATCGTATTAGGTGTCCGGGGTAGAGTAGCAGACGCAGGAGTATTAGGTGCCGACGTCGCCTCCAAAGGTACGAGGTTTGAGCGCACGCGCATGGGAGGCTTCTTGGGAGGACCTTCCGTCAAGTCTATAGCCGATGCGGGACGTGCGGGCGGGGGGCCGGCGGGACTAATCGGCGGTGCCCTTGCGGCCGACATACCAGGGGAGGCTGTCTGCGATCGCTGCGGTGGTGGTGGGGGTGATGCTTTCGCAGGCTCCGATGGTGCCTACGAACGAATATCGCTCAGCAAATTACAAGTCGGGACATGCAGTGCACTTACATTCTTATTAACCCAACGTTTAGTTTCAGCATCATAATAGAAAGTATTTTCGTCGCCCAAGTTGGCTTTGACAGGGCCGCCTTCGTTACGTTTCCATAGTCGACTGAGCCAACCACCTGCAGGGGCTGCTAGAGACATAAATCAGGTAAATCGGCTGTTCCATTAAACAAGTTTCTAGATGACTAACCGGACTTATCAGCCTCTTTCACTGGCTCAGACTTGGACGGTGGAGGAGCTGCCTTCTTTTGGTCCTCTGCAGGAGTATCGGCAGCTTTTTTCGATCTGTTGCCACTATTACCCAGGCCCAAATCGTCGTCTTCGTCGATGTCGTCCCGTGCAAGCGAGTTCATCCTTGAGGCCGCAGCAAACTGAGAGGTGGTATGAGGTCCTGCCAACGCAGCATCATCCATTAGTGAAATAAAGCCTTCCGACGATTGATCCAGCGATCCATCGGGATGAGGGAATGATGTAGCAGTTGGCGTTGCTGATTGCGACTCAGCGGAACCCCACCAGGAGGCAACGCGCGGACCAGATCCTGATGCATCATCCTGTGCTGTCGGCGTAGTCATTTCTTCTGTCGGCGAAGAGTTGAAACCATTAGGATATCCGTAGGGCACCTGAGACTTTGACGCTAATCCATACGCAGAACCGCCCGCGGATGAACCACGGGGTACCGGAGAGGGCTTGCGACGGAGGTAATCAACCGCGGACGAAGCTCGTGCAATCTGGGCAGGTGAAGTTGTCGAGGTACGGAGAGCCATGGCAGAGCCAGTGCGGAATGGGGGAGCAACAGGATAGGACTCAGCAAGGTTGGTCGATGACATTTGAGGGGACGGCATGGTCGAGTTAGTAGCTGATGAGATTGTACTGTAATGTGCGAAGGGCCCACTGAGAGCAGATACTTTTTCTTGACTTTCAACCGGATGGGGAGAATCACCCTCTCCAGCTATGAAGCTAGTGAAGCGGCCCTCCAACCAGTTACCTATTTTATCTAAGCTCGGCCGTGCCATTTTAGATCCCATCCAAGATCCAGATTTGTCGAGAAGTGGTGCAGCCACCAAACGGTCAGAAAGGCCTTTGAGCTCATCCAAAAATACAGCGTTGAGGTATGGGGAGCTACGAGGAGTCGAATGCGAAATGGCTTCGCAATACCTATCAAGTAGCATTAGACACGCGTAATCAATACTTAAAGAAGGTATCTGACCGGTTTGCTAGATCCATATGACCAAGTTCTGCGAGTTGCAGAGCTCTAAGGAGTCGATAAGGTTGCAAATGTGGCAGCCCGTTGAATGCATCTTGGCCCTTCGCCGGCGGCGTCAGCGACATGGCAAATTCTACAATCTCACTGAAGATAATAGCATCAGGGTCCTTGTAGACACCCGGTGCCACTTGTGGATTGGGTACACCATACAACACCACTCGAGCGCCTGGCGTCCCCACCCCACCAACAGGTGAGGTCTGAGGTGACAGAAGATAACTATTCACCGTAAGAGTGTGAGCATAGCATGGGTGATAGCCTTAGATTAGAGCATACCATGCATGCGCCGCCTCTATCCAATTATTCAACGCCAAGTGATCGCCAAGTGCAGTGAGAGCGGCAGAACAGTCCGTTGGTAGTGAACCACTGATGATCATGGCTGCAGTTGTTGGCCATTTTGCCAAAGTGTCTTGAGGCAAAGTCACTGGTTGAACGACCTGCTGGAAAGCGGCGCTGATGGGGGTCACGGTTGTCAATGTCGGAGGAGCGACAGGGAGTGAATGGTTTGAGGCTCCGAGAGGTTTGGTAGGGTGAAGCTCTTGCACTGTAGACAGACGTTAATGGGAGATAGCAGCGATAAGCGGAATATTCATACCACAAGCCCCACCCTGACCGGCAAACAGACTATAAGCAACCCTAAGGGGCTCTCTGCTATCAGTATTGACGGATTTACCGCCCAGCCCAGTTGGCAAGCCAGTCCCAGTACCGGCACTCCTTAATTCCGACCGCACAAATTCCGTTACAGCTTCTTTCCAAGCCTCCTTGTCAATACTACTGGCAATAAGGAAGGCGTGCGCCCACAGCTTCTCGTCCGCTGCGTAATGGAACGCGCCCCGACGGTCGCCTCGAACAAGGAATGATTCAATCTTATCAAGTTGCGAGGACCATAGAGGATGATCAGCAAGCTTGGTACCCTTCATGTCGTGGGAGAGCTGGCCAAGTGATCCATAGGATGAAGATGCCAGCTCAAACGTGCCCGCGGCTGGAGTCACAAGGGTCGCCGTTGATGCATCCGGAGAGGACTCAGTGTTGGGAAGCAACGCAGCGCGCACAGCTGTATCAATCTGGGGACTGTTGAGTCTGGGTCAGTAAGCGCGTAGGAACAGCCGAAGAAACGACACTAACGTTCCGGAAAGACGTCCATCATTTTCTACCATGACCTTCAGCAAGTTGATGAGGATGCGCTTGGCCAACGCCCTGTGCAGATCCACGCTACCCTGATGCAGATACCCCAACCCTTGCGATATTTCCTCCGAGCGCTCCTCTAGATATTTCACAACCTTCGCTTTCTTCGCTTTCAGCTGGGCTGCAGCGCCAGTACGCACGAGAGTCGCCGCGGGCGTACCCGGGTCTGAGAACAATGGACCTGGGTACGATGCCGTCGAAACCTCCAGAGCTGACTGTGGAATGACGCTGTGTAGAGAGCGGATGTGGACGCTCGTAGAAGCGCGGGACGACATGGCTACCTCGAATCCAGTTTGCATGTCAGACCCATGGAAGCAAGTGACAAGCTTGCCACCAAAGCCGAACGTGATGACCGGTATCCGCACAGCTGTTCGACCCAGAGGATCATTAGTGCCTAGAAGAGATGGGGAGGGCGCGTATGGAGTACGGTGGGGTGCAGTCAGTGTTTGCACCTGAGGAACTCCGTTCGGCAGTCCTGACGGAACGTCGTTGCCGTACATAGGCTTGGGGACGCCAGCCTCAAAGGTGTAGCTCTCTGTGGACTGTTGCCGCGAATGAGCGCCGGGAGCGTATGGATCATTCTGAGACGTGCTGAGGGAAAATGCAGATCCATTCGACGCGGACCGGTATCGTGCAGTAGGTTCAGGAGGTGAATAAGGGTCTCGGACGCTCTGAACGGAATGTATAGAGCGAACAGAAAAAGAAGAAGGCGATGATGTCCTCTGCACACCGGCAGCTGAACTCGGTTGATATGGGTTTGGTGGCGCCGCATATGAATCTAACGACGAGCGACTATTTGGGACCGACGCGGGAGGTGACGACATTGTAGTAGGATGAATCTGGTTTGATTCCGGTGTCTGCATCTCGTGCCATGATGAACCAGTGGGAGGGAAGTACGGGTTGTTTGCAGGAGGAGGTGCAGAATGGGAATTGAGTGTGGTCGGTCGATAGGGGTCACGTACAGGTTCTGACGCGTGAGCTCCTACGTCAGGAATGAGTGGTTGTGCCACCGGTTCGTCATCCTCAAAGCTGTTCACCGGTTGGTGTGCCTCGGGTGCCGCAGATTCATTGTCAATGTCATTCCCAGCCCATGATGAGACCTGGTCAAACGATGCAGAATCGGTGTCCAGTCCTGACACAGGCGCCGAGGAACCAAAATGAATCGTTTCCTCTTCTGGGAGACCATCCGCGGCGCTTACAGGCGAATCCTGCTCTACGACAGCTTCAGGGTCGTAGGCTTCCTCGTGCAGAGCCCCGTTGGAGGTAACAGCACTGTCTGCCACCGGTACAGCGTTACTTTCAGGATCATCCCAATAAGATTCTTGGGAGCGAGCCTCAGCGGCACTGTTCGCCGGCTGGTCAGAAGACTGAGGGGCAGCTGCGCCTGCGCCAGGGGTGTACGCATTCACAACCGCCGGCGCTGCTGCCGCTGGTGCGTTCCAAGTGGTCACCGGGTGTGGTGGGGGAGGGCTATACGCAGAAATCGGAGGAGGTGGCGGCGCGAAGTGTCGCGCAGCAGAAGTAGTTCTAGGAGGAGGAGACATTGTACTGGCTGGTGGAAGAGTTGGCGTGGAAATATACTGCCTCGCTGCTGAACCAGTTCTAAGGGGAGGAGGGGGCACAGAGGCTTTGCGCGGCGGTGGCGGCAATGCCGGCGTATGTCCAGTACGGGGCGGAGGACTATTTGGTATTGATGCGTAGCCTAGCTGTGCGGAGGAGCCCATGGGCGACTGCCATGCGGCCGGACGTTTCGGTGCGGTTTTCGGAGGCGGGATGGGAGGATCGTAAGCGTTAAGGGTCTTTGGACGGTACGATGCTGCTGAGGCCGTACTACGCGGCGGCATATCCACGCGTGGAACGGCCGAGCTTTCCCCTGTGGCACCGTCTAGGAATTGCGCATATGAATGTGGCAATT